TTTTTATGAATTGAAAAGAAAAGAAAAAAAAAAAAAAAAACAAGACTTGGTGGCATCATGGCATGTGGTGGGAAACCAAGATGCCTTTCACAAATTTTTATAGCAATATGGTGATTTATTGATAATCATTAATTAAACTATTATATATCATAATAATAATAATAATAAAATATAATCTATTATTATTAAACTAATAATATTGGCTCTTTGCTTTAATTTATACTCACTGCATTCCAAAATAAGTGTCATTCTAGAATTTGCATACAATTTATAAAACACTTAGATATGGTATTTAAATTACTAGAATATCCTCAACCAACTCTATTAAAATAATGATCACCAGACCATGGTTGGGTTAAGGTAAACACGGACTGTTCTTTTGATGGGCTCACGGGCCTGAGTAGCGCTGGTGGGCTACGTCGGGATGACAGGGGTCGTTGGATCGGAGGATTTCTTTTCAATATAGGAATTGGCTCAGTGATGGGGTCGAAGCTTTGGGGCCTGCACGAGGGTCTCCAACTGGCATGGGAGTTGGGATATAAAAAAGTTATCGCCGAAGTGGATAGTCAGTGTGTGACGAAGGCGGTTTCAGGGCCCGAGAATAACTTTGGAACGCATGAGGTGCTGATCAAAGCTATTCAAGCCTTAATGAAAAGAGAGTGGACTATTCGGATCCAACACGTGCATAGAGAGGCAAATCTGGCAGCTGATCATTTGGCTAGGGTGGCGACATCCAACCCAATTGGGCTTCGACGAGTGACAACCCCTCCCCTATGTCTGGGCGAATGGCTAGATCACGATAGTAGGAGGATGTCTCTCTCCCGGCTCGTAATTGTTTAAGCGTGTTGCTTTCCTTCATTGTACCAAAAAAAAAAAAAAAAATAATGATCACCAATGATATTATTTCTTTTGAGGGCATGTTAGGAAATTTTTGTCCAAAAATCTATTGGAATTTAAACCGACACTTATTTTAGAATTTTTTTTCATTTTGCTAAAACGACACTTATTTAGGTAGTACTATTTATCATTATTGTCAATTAAATCGCACGGGCTACACACTTGTTAGCAATTGCACACTTTTTATTATTATTATTATTTTTTTATTAAAGGATGAGATTGAAAAGAAAATGATGAGAAAAAATGATGTGTCCCTTCTATAAATATTTTATATCCAACCACAATCTCAATGAAGAAAAATTATGGGACCAAATAAATTCAACAAATTATCCGACACGAATCACATACTTTTGATTTTGAATACAAACATTGATCATAAAATTTCGAACTACACGCAATCTCCAAGTTTATGATTTTCTTCATGACCAGTAGCCCGTGATTTGTGTAAATTAATTTTTTACCCAAACGATAGTAAAAATTTAGCAACTTAATTTAGTCAATGAATTGAGCAAATTAGTTAGTTTACAATACAATTGATTAGCATTAGCCAATATGTACACCAAATTCCGAGGAGATCAAGAGAAAAGAAGAAGAAAAAAAAATGAATGAAAAAACCCTCTATTTTCTAAGAATTTGACATTGAATTAGCTAGGTGTTTGAGCTATATTTATTTGAGACTTCTAAGGTCCGATTTGATATTAACTAGCACGATACCCGTGTACTATATGAATGCATGAAAAATAATTTAAATAAGAAAATAAAATAGTTTAGTTGTCGTAAGTATATATACAAAATAAAAAAATAGAAGTTTCATAAAACAAAATCCACTATACATTGGGTAGATACTCTCAACAATAGTAGCAATAGGATCCCTTTGTGATTTACGAATAATATCATCGAGAATGTCGATATCGTCAAAGCGTCATTCGATCCACCGAGTGTTCCGTTGCCAATGCTTGGAAGCCACTTCAAGAAGCGTTTCAACTTATTATACTCATCGCCTCCACCAAGGTTTCAAAGACTCATATTACGAGATAGTCTCGCAAAGGTGCAATGCCGCCACAATTGGGATATTTGGTTGCTTGACTTTCCTTCAGTTTTTTTGGTAAACAATGCCTTTGAGAACGAAAACCAAAGCCCGTTGAGATAGTGTCTGTACTAAGTACAACAGTGGGCCCCAACTCGACTCCTGCTAAGCTGATTAGTGCCACACCTGCCCTTCGTCTGCACTAGAGAAGTCAAATAATCCCTGATGATAGCTCGTATAGATTTCCAAGCAAACTTGTCAGGCGCGGGCCCCCAAATAGGCCTTTGAAGTTTGACACCCCTGCAAAGAACTAAAAATTTAATCTTAAGCTTGATAGAAACGAAAGCCGATCAATTGGTGCTAATGATTATTTTGGACATTCTTCTAGATGCTATCATATAGTCAGTACATATTTTATCGAATTAAGATAAACAACTATCTTTAGAAATGCCAAGTTATGGCGAGATTGTACTGCTTTGAAACTAACTCCAATATGAGGCATCGAAGCCTTGGTGGAGGTGATGAGTTCAATAGAGTTGAGAGCCTTCTAGGAGTTGCGCCTTTCGAGCATTTGGAGACGGAACACTCGATGGATCGAATGACAGATGTGCCGATGTGGACATTCACGATGATATTATTGTGAAATCACAAGGAGATCCTATTGATACTGTTGTTGAGAGTTCCTACCCAGTGTTCGAAGTTTAGGTGACGACCTTAGCTATCTAAAGGATAGAGCGTACTCACTCCCACAGTTGATGTCGCAGAGTCCATTAACGAGTATACAAGCTCATTGAACTCCTATGAGGGAAAGACTTATTTAAATTCGGACCGTTTACAAGTCAGATGCTGGATATGATTCTCTTAAAGATCTCCATACTCTCAAATATTTTAATGGGATTAAGTGCCTGGGACTTCTGAATCATAAATTGCACTTAAAGGTTGACACTTCAGTGATATATGCTGTTGAGGAACATTCATCATTCAATCGTGTTATACAACAATACACATTTGGTTATTGCTAAGCTAAACTGCCATGTTCTCAAATGCATAATTTTAGTCGATACCAGACCTGGTGATAAGGTTCTTATTCTTCAACTCGCAATCATTCAATTCGTTTTGAGGGTATAGTTCAAGTTTCAATACAAACAAATTCTTGTCACGGTTTCCTATGCTACGACATCAATAAGAGTCAATGCCAGTCTTTGTCACACGTAGACTTGATATTGAATAAGCATGTTTTCAGTCATGAGTAGTTATACGTAGCTATTTCCAGAGTCACAAATCAGAAGGATTTAAAGATAATGATATATGACAATGCACATTCAGACGATAGGAAAACTATGAACATTGTATATAAACAAAATTTTGATAATATTTTAGAATTCTTTTCTTAATTTATAAATTTTCATGAATTAAATTATGATTTTTAGTTTTTGTACCGTTCAAATTGTATTACTTTCTATTTTAATAATTCACTTTATGTGCAAATGCACGTAATGATAATTTTTATGTATAAATAACATTAAAACCATTTATATTTGCTACTTTGAATATTTTAACTTACATTATCTTTCTTCTTTAATGCAGATTTTAATAAATACGTAAATGTAATTAAAATTACTTAACAATATCAAATTTATTTTGAATAAATATAGTTATATAAATATAATTGATATATATTACTTTATAGTTATTTAAATAAAATATTTTATTAAATTAATAATGCCAAAAACATATATTCAAAATAAAAAAAACCCTCTAATTTTAGCAAATGTTTATGTAGAACTGTCAATTTTAAACGCTTATCAAAACAACTATTAATATCCGTTAGCCTCTAACGCTAACCCTTAATTGCCAAACAAGGCCAAATTGTCTTTGAAATAAGTCTAAAAAATTTCAGACAAAAAAATAAAATAAAACATAAACTGGATATTTGTTAAGATGTTTTTTAAACCTAGAATGAATACATTAGATTTGTATAAAATTTAATCTTATTCATTTTAATGAAGAATAAAATAAATTAAACAAGCCATCAAGGGTATAATAGACATTGCATATTATTGCGGCGCAGGGGCCATATGGGAAAGCTGTGTGATCCTCACCTGTTGTATACCTTAAACGGCACCGTTTACTCGACCAAAAAAAGCTTTTTTTCTGTATAAAAAGGCAGCCTTTTTGAGTTGGAAGAAAATGGAGATGAATTGGAGCAGAGCTTGAACCTCAATCTCTTTCAGAGACATTTTCTCTCTCTTCACAAACTGCAACCTTTTTTTGAGTGGGTTTTGTTCTGTATTTTAGATATTCTGTTTAAGAAATTTCAACAATGGCGGCAAGCTCAGTTGTCGTTCAGAGCTTCTTTACCGAGCGTCGACGATACTCTTCTGAGGCAGTTTACTGTTAGAAAGAAGCGCAAGAGCAAACCCTTTTTTCTTCTTGTTTTTTTTTTCACTGTTTTTCGTTCTTTTTAAGGTTTACTTCAGCTGAATTCTGTGGAAGCCATATATATATATGTATATATCACGTAGAAGCTGCAAATGGCGTCCTCAATGTCATTTGATGTACGATAAACAAGTACTGTTGGTATCTCGAAAGTCCCTTTTTGTCTCCCCTTTAAATTTCTAGTTAAGATTCTTGTTCGCTGGGTTTTGTTTGATGGGTTTGATTAGATTGTGGTTCAATTTGCAATGGTGAATTTGGGGAGTTATTTGAAGGGTAGTTTTAGTTCAAAGATCTCACACTCGGCTGATCTTTCTTGCAATTTAAATTTGTCAGTTAATTGAAGGGAGTTTTTAGCTCGATTGGTGAATTAGGGTTTTCTAATTTAGTGTGAGGATAGAAGATGGGGATAGATGACAGGATGTTGCTGCCGACTGTGGGACCTCCGATAAAGAGGAAATTGAGAAGGAAACAAGCTGGAAGGGGATCTTACAGAGGGAGCTAGGATTTGGAGTTACACTGCAAGTACAAGGGGTGGATTTAGGGAATTTGTTGAGGTTTTTTATTTTTATTTTTAGTTTTTTGGAAATTTAGGATTGGGTGTCGGCATTAGGACTTTGCTCATTGGGGAAAAAGAAAGATGGGGAGCCGATTGCAGCAAGCGCTGAGGAGTTTTTGTTCCAACAGCGATTGGAAATATGCAGTTTTCTGGAAGATAACACGTCAAACGAGGATGTGAGTCCCTTTACCTTTTCAAAGTTTATATTGAAGATTTAACCATACTAAGTTTAAGTTGAATGTTCATGTATTTACAGAATTTGATACAAAGCTTGTAAATTTGAAATAACGATGCGCTATAAATGACAAAAAGCCACCATAGCTTCAAGTATCTCTATTGAACTTGTATATCTATCTAACTATGTGCACCAGAGTTCCAGATCTTCTAATTAATTTTAAGTTAAATAGAGATAATTGAAGCTATGGTGGTTTTTTGTCATTTATAGGCATGCAGAACTTAAAACTGTAACTCGATAAAAAGAATTTTTCATGCTAGAAAACGTTGCGGAGCTTCTTCAAGCTACAATATAAACTTAAATCCTATCTTCCGAAGTCTAAAAGTTTGCTTCCCTTTTTAAATTTTTTGTGAGAAGTCTTATGGAATTGGAGATATTGTGCCAACTTCTTCCTTCCCGATGCTCATTTCACTAACATAAAAATACATCAGTGTAGAGTGTGGTTAAATCAAAATGCCTGTATTTGAAATATTAGTTGCTCAAAGAATTTTCTGGTGTGATCATATTATATGAATTAATTATTTTTCTTTCTTTATTGGTACAAATTTTCTGCAGGATGTTAACTTGGGAGGATGCTTATTATGATGGAAACCAATCGGAAAAGAAGTTGTACAATCCTGCTTCAGGAAGCTCGATTGAGGGTCCTTACTCACATGATCCTCTGGGATTGGCTGTGGCAAATATGTCTTATCAAGTATATTCTTTTGGGGAAGGGTATGTACTTACCATCATAGGAATTAAGAATTTCCAGTTCTTGTACTCTTAAAGCTCCATATCTTTGCTTTGCCAAGTTTATTTCGCTTCTCTAGTTCAATTTTGAGATTAAATAAATGAGTTGATGCTTTCTGGGGACAACATAAATATATAAACTCACTGTGTTTTACAGGAGGGATGTTGTAGCATGTAATAATATCATTTGTTTGCTCTTCTGTGCATATTTATGTGAATATAAATACTGCATATATAATATATATGTTTATATATTTATAATGTATTTTATAGAATCTTTTCCCACATTTGGTCTGATAGGGTTGTCGGAAAGGTAGCAGTTTCTGGAAAGCATTCGTGGATATTTTTAGATGAGCTTGATTCTTTCTCATATGAGGTATATTACTGCACTGTTACCATTAAAGAGAAAAAAAAAAAAAAAATTCTTTTGCTGCTCTTATTCCCCTAGAGTCCAAGAATGCAACCATCTAAGTTATCTTGGATTATGTTAAATCAGATATATGTTTTATTGGCTTAAAGTCGTTTATTGATTAACAATAATTCTCTTTTCGGTGATTGGTACAGACGTATATTGATGGTTTTTCTGTTTAGTTTCGAGTGTTTCAGTTGTTAATAACCAGAACAATAAGATTCGTGTATACAAAATGCTTGTTTGAATTTCTATATTTCTGTTAGTTGAGGATAGGTGTTCCACCTATTGGTTTGCATTGATATATGGCCACTGTATATGGATATGACCATAAATGATCTCTTATTTTCTGCACTATGCTTTAATCTGACCCATTTTTCTCTAATTAAATAATTTTGTGTTATCCAGTATTCCGATGGGTGGCAAACTCAGTTTTCAGCTGGCATTAAGGTAAATCCGAGTCCTATTTGTTTTTATCCTTTTTTTTTAGTATCTTACAAAGCTTTTACAGTGATGGATAATAATATACTATCAACTGACATCAAAGGAACAAAAAGATCTGAGAGATGCCTTTATAGACCGATTCTATCCTCTTTCTCATCTCCGCTCCTACTTTGAAGTTTTAGTAAAATTCTTGTTTGATTCGATGATTGTCATACAGCTAAATTTCTTCACAGTAAAAGTTTGGAAGTTTGAACTCATTTGTCTGATGCACGGTTGGCTTGATGGGAGCATTGTAATGTACTTCATGATAATTACATGGTCCTGGTCCTGTGGATAAGACAATGGGGATTGATCTCAATTTAATCGAGCTCATAAATGTAACTTCAAATTTCACTATTTTTAAAATATATGAACAGGCCACATTCTTTTGTGGACCTGTTGTTATGGTAAAGAATTGAACTTCGAAAATTTAACATGAAATCTGATCATCTGCCCAAGTCCATGAAACAATATAGCAATTTTTAGTGTCTGAGAGATCAATAGTGAAAGACTAAGGTCTAATTCCTCTGCCAAAAGGGCTTCAAAACCCGTACCTCAATTCTTGGTTCTTTGTCGCAAAAAATTAATAAGAGATTTCCTGTTTTGCAGACCATTGTTGTTGTGGCTGTGATTCCACATGGAGTTGTACAACTAGGCTCTCTGCATAAAGTATGTTTGATCAAAAGCTGTATTACTGTCTGCATTTCTTGTTTTCATATAACTCGTAGACTTTACATTTTTACCTTCATCTTTGAGTGGATCAGATTTCTGAGGATGTGAAGCTGGTTGACCATATAAGAAATGTTTTCTCTGGCCTACAAGATTCATTACTCGGTTGTATTCCAAGTTCAATGAAAAGTAACACTGATGATTCTTGTTTGGTGAATCTCTCTCTCTCTCTCTCTCTCTCTCTCTCTCTCTCTCTCTCTCTCTCTCTCTCTCCCTCTCTCCCTCTCTCTCATGTGTGTGTGTGCACAAATATTTTCTCCCCATCTCTTATATCTTGCATTTTATCAGCCAGATACATGCACAAAAATTCCAGATTCGGCTTTTCACAACTCCATAGGCAAAATGAAAAGGTCTCTTCATGAGAATGAGGTGAACTTGTGGTCTCAGTTTCTTTCACCTCTTGGGGAATCTGTTAATCAATTTCACATTTTCCCTCAAATTGGAGCTGCTGGGCCCTCAGTGCCTGGAAATGAAATTTTACTTCCCTCGAGCTCGGTAAATATTCTCTCAAGTCAGCCGCAAGCACCAGTGATGGAAAATCCAAACAACAAGAAATTCGGTGGTGAAACAAGTGACTCCAGAGATTTAGGAAAGAGACCCGAAATTACGAGTACGTCTTCATCTGCTAAGAATGTCAAGATCGAGAATTTGAACATAAATAATTTCGAAACTCGACATTTCGAGAACCTCCAACTGCCGATCAAGTCTAATAATCGTGCAGCAGAGATGAATATTTCACCTTTCGGTTTTTGTGCCGGGTATGAACTGTACGAAGCTTTAGGATCTTCCTTCCAGGAGCAGAAAAATGACTCCATTTGGGGGGCCGTAAATATTTCCGAGGGTATAGGCAGTTGCAGTTTGCTGAGGGGAAATTCTGATGCGAACCTTCTAGAAGCAGTGGTGGCCCGAACAGGAAGTCATCAAGGGTATGACACGGAAAATGAGAGGTCCTGCCGTGAATCCCTCTTGACTCCCGATAAAACACCGTGCAATAGTTTGGGCACTATTAGTTCGTTCGACCGGGACACTTCGTGTAGCTTGAATTCGGTGACTTGTAGTGTCGAGTCCTTGAGGGGATTCCCTTGTACCAGTTCTAGTATAGGGAGTGAGCATTTGGATAAGGCTCGAATGCTGGCTAAACCGAATAGAAAAAGAGCTCGACCGGGTGAGAGTACTAGGCCAAGGCCAAGGGATAGGCAATTGATCCAAGATCGGATAAAGGAACTGAGAGAGCTCGTGCCCAGTGGATCTAAGGTGATTCCCATGATTTTTTTTTTTATATATATATTTTTATTTATTTTTCTAGAGTTTCTGCTGAAATTAATGAATCATACAGTGCAGTATTGATTCACTTCTCGAGCGGACTATTAAGCACATGGTGTTTTTGCAAAGTGTAACCAAGCATGCTGAGAAACTGAATAAATGCTCAGTGTCAAAGGTAATGATATTATGTTTGTTTAGTTTATTACAAGCCTGTTTATCCAACTCGATCAAAATTTTCTTTTCTTTCAATCCTGTTTGCCTTTCGACTTTCTTGGCAAGGTTTGGTTGGTACTAATGGTGGAAAAATTCTATCTGAAATATAGTAAATATGAGAATCAGGAAAAAATTCCATGTCCAACAGATTTATATCACAATCACAAATTTGGTACAATTTTATTATGTCTTTATGTTTTGATTTCGATCTTTAACAAGAATTTATGATTTTTTTCCAGTTGCTCGACAAGGAAACAGGTATACGGAGAATCTCCTGTCGGGAGCAAGGCTCGAGCTGGGCTGTCGAATTGGGAAACAGCCAAAAGGCCTGCCCAATAATAGTCGAAAATATAAATATGAACGGGCAAATGCTTGTAGAGGTAAAGTATTTGCCAAATAATTTTCAGTTTTATATTTACTGCAATGAACTTTTGGTGCAATTGGATATAAACTTAACAAAAAAAAAAAAATCCAATCAAAACTCAAATTTAACTCAACTTTAACCCAATCCCATTATCATCAATATTATCAATATAATTAAACAATATCAACCGATTATTCTTACACATCGCATCAACTTTAATTCACTATTCATCAACTCACATAATTTTAGCTAACCATCAGTTCTAATCATTTTTTTCCTACTTTTACATCAAATCATTTTTAATTATTTAATTTTAAATATTATTTTAATTTGACCACTAACAACTAACTATACCACATTTTTCAAAATTAACCATGGTTAAAAAAAACCAGTCAAATTCATATCCAATCACACCCAATAACTGCAAAGTGAAGACAGTGAACATGGCATAATCGCTTGCATCCGCCTCGATCATAATGTACTGTGTATACCATATATATATATATATATATATATTTATTATTTATATCTTATTTTTTAATCTCTACAAGTGTAGATGTTGAGCAAAGAGAGTGGTCACTTTCTGGAAATAGCAGAGACCATTAGAAGCTTAGGGCTAAGCATTCTAAAAGGCGTGTCTGAAGCCTATGGAGATCAGATGTGGATGTGCTTTGTTGTTGAGGTGAATGTTAATTGTCAGCTAATCTTTTGTTAACATTTTTTAACGACAAATAAATAATTCAAGTTTTTAGTCTTTATTGGTGTTAATTGTTGTTGTTAGGGAGAAAATAACCGAAGCATTCATCGGATGGATGTGTTATGGTCACTTATGCAGCTTTTTCAACCTAAAACGTCGACTACTTGAGCTCTGTTCAAGAAAACCAGTATTTTCGACCTGTGGTAATTTCTTTTTTTTCCCCAGTAAACTGGATTTTTTTTTTTTTTTTTTTTGACTTGATTTGATATGGGTTTATGCTGAGTTTTGTTGTTTGTAACATCATCAAATTCGGGGTGTGGGATACTGGAAATCTTGAATTGATATTTCTTTGTATTCAAATCTCTTTGACATAAATGTTGAGAGATTGATCGTCTTTGCAGTGACAATGTATTTTTAGAATTTTTATCTTATAGAAACCAGAACTAATATGATTCGACTGTGTCATGTGTGTTACATTGTTCGACCCGGAATTCTTTATGCGGATCTTGTTCGACCCGAATTGTCGAAATATTATGCCTCGTTTAAATCACATGATTTATAAACTGTGTCGGTGGGTGGAATGTTGTTTAGATGTTTTAAATAGGGTATTTAGAAATATTTTTTAATGCCGGTGTTAATTTATATTAAATAACCAAAATTCGTATTTTTTCATTCTCTATCAATAGAGAGGTCTCGATTGTTTTAGTTTGGAATACAATTTTAATTCTTCATATTCACCCTTTAAAAATTGGTACTTTATTCATTTTATCATATCTTTCATTATCTTTAATTCCTAACAAATATCATATGGATCCACATTATGAATATTATTTCAACTCTCATATTTTTTCAAACTCTAAAAATGTACTAAATTTAGAAAATTATTCACATAAGAAATTTCTCCGAACCTTACTCAATTCCCTCGAGCACTGGAAATAAGGTACGTCGTGATGGTCGACAAAGTAATATGAGATATTATCTCACTGATGGTATATTCTTCATGAATTACCTTTCTTAAATCAATTACTTATCCACAACTTCGAAAACACAAGTCGTTTGTTCAACACCAAGAGGCTATTGATAAGATGCCGAACGTGTATTCGGAGTTTTACAAGCTCGTTTTGCATTATGGCCATGTCTAGTGTGTGGGATTATATTTTTTTTTTTTATGGAAAAAATTATTCGTATCATTATACACAATATGATAGTAGAAGATGAACGAAACACCTACTTGAATTACTATAACACCACATAATTTTATTTATAATAAGCACAAAATGACGGAGGAAACGACGGACGAATAAAATAAATGAAGTAGAATAAGAGGATGATGATATTTCATTTCAATAATCTACTGAACGAATCAAAAACTTATGCACATATATGACTGATAGGTCACAATTCTGTAATAGAGAAACTTGTGTAATTCTACATAACAATTTGATTGAACACATTTGAAAAAAAAAAAAAATGGTAATGATAATTGATGTGTGATGTCGTTCGATGTGTTATAGTTTTTATAATTTTAATTATTAATTAAATTTGAATTTTTTTTATGGGAAAATATTTATTTTTTGAAATTATTACAACTTTATTTTTATAATTAATTTATCACAATTAAATCAATTATACATAATACTTAACTAGTACATAGCCCGTGCGATGCACGAGGTGCACAATTTTAAGGTCATTTATCCATTCTTATAATTATATAAATGAATAAAAAAAATGTACGGAATATATATAGTACGTGACCTGTAATACGCCAAAATGTGAACACAGGGTGTACAATTTTAAGGTCATTTATTAGTGCATACCCCGTGCGATGCACGTGATACATATAATAAATCAATTATTTCTATAGGACTTGTACGTTTAGACGAAAAAACAATAGGCTTGGATCATCTATATTTCACATCTTTTAATAAGTGGCGTTTATTTAAGCCAAAAAAATTAACATGTTAATTAATATATAATTCCGCTAACACGTCATACTAATATTTATTTGATTTTAGAATACATATTTATTCATTGATATAGGAAAAAATAAAAATTTAATTAATTATTGTTCACCATATAATACTCAATTATTATTTTATTATAAAATTCACAGCCATATAATGTAATTATTATTATTTATAAAAGTTATAGAAGTAGTCTTCTTTATGTAATGAAATTCAAAATAAAATTTTGATTATAAATATTTACAAAATACACACACATGTTTTTTAGAATTCAATTTTCTCATAATAATTCTTTTTTTTTTTAAAAAAAAAAATAATTTAGCAATTGCCAAAAAATAAATCCCTTACGTAATCAAGAGATTTTTTCTAATTTTCATCCTAAGGCTTTATAGTTTATTTAACATACTATGCAATAGAAAAATATTTTACAATAAGTTCATTTTTGAAACATAACAAAAAAAAAGTGATAAAAACATTTAACACTATCATAGTTGACAATAATACACAAATAAATAACATGTCGAAATTTTAAAGAATAACTATAATTTTATTATCTAACCATCAATAAAATTAATTAATGATGTGATCATTATCATTTAAATAATAAAAAATATTAATTTTTTTAAAAAATATTAGTTTTATATAATTAAATAAAGGTTAAAAATATTACTCGACAAATATTAATTATAATAGATATCAGTAAAATCATTGCATAAATTA